TATTTCATATACCGAATCGGATTGCGAGAAAATTCAATTTTTCACAGCAAACTTTTCAAAACTGAAATTTTGAATTATTTCAAATTAATTTATAGATTGAATTGGTTCACGAAAAATTTAAAATTTTCCACCAAGCTTTTCAAGCTACAAAACGTTGATATATTTGCAATTTTTTAATCGACCGAATCGGTTCGTAAACAGTTTAAAAGTTTCTAGTCAAGGCTTAAAGCTATGAAGCATTAAAATATTTCAAGATAATTCCTAGATCAAATCAGCTCGCGAAACATTGAAGTTGTTCTACGCAAGTTTTTAAGGCTAGTATTTCATAAACTGAATTAGTTTGTGTGAAATTTGAAGTTTTTTAAGCAAGCTGTTCAAGCTATGAAAATTTGTGAACTTTTTTATACTTTTTTGCAGACCAAATTGCTTCGCGAAAAGTTCATTTCTCTAAGCAACCTTTTGAAGCTAAAAAAAACTTTCAAATATTTCAAGTTATTTCACAATCTGAATCGGTTCGCGAAAAGTTTGAGTTTTCTAAGCAAGCATTTAAAGCTATGAATTTTTGAGTTATTTCATGGACAAAATTGGTTCGCGAAAAGTTTCAGTTTTCCTAAGCAAGTTTTTAAAGCTATGAAACTTTGAATTATTTCAAGTTGTTGCATAGGCTGAATCGGTTTGCAAAAAAAATTTTTTTTCTTAGCCTGGAGGCTGCTGTTTTCAATTGATTCGTTCCAGATTGAATTTTCGACGTTCAGGTTCCTGACAGAAATGAAAAGAAATTTTAGACGAATATTAGGCAGGTATTGTACAGCTTTGAAGTTGGATCGAGTTCATCTTCCTCGGATGGTTGTTCTGAATGCTTCTTAAACGTTACGCTTGATAGCTTTTTAAACATTGTCTCCTGATAATTCTTAAGCATTATGTTCAGTTAAACATTAATGATTCATTGCTGTTTTCAAATGATTCGTTCTAGACCGAATTTTTAACAGTGTCGGTTCCAGACAGAAAAGAAATGATTTTTTTTTGGACAAAAACGAGGCAGGTACTGTATAGCCTTGAAGTTGGATCGAGTTCAGCTTCCTCTGATGGTTGCTCTGAATGCTTCTTAAACGTTACGCTCGATAGCTTTTTAAACATTGTCTTCTAATAATTCTTAAGCATTATGTTCAGTTAAACCTTGCATCCATAGCGCATTCAAACTTTCATTTATTCGGTTCGCGAAAAGACGGAATCGGTTCGCGAAAAAATTCAGTTATGGTCGATAACCTTTTAAATATTGGCTCGAAATCCATTATAATTTTAAATGCGGGCTTCACTAACTCGCCACGTTTAAGCTTTTTCAACTTAATTTTTTTCATGTGTAACGAAAGAGTTTTTTCATGTTTTAGCTATATCATATATTGCAATGGTTGAGAATGGTGAAGTTTTTTTTCGTATTTCCAGTTTGATTTCAGTGATTATTTCAACGAAATTAGAATAAGCAGCCCACTATTCCGGATTTCCAAACAGTTTGTTATTTTGGCCTCCAATTCATTTTGAAGGCCGAAATCTTTTTAGTCAACGAGATACTACAATTTTTGTGATTTTTTCAAAAAAGTTCATAAAACTCAAATTACAAAATAATTTACAAAACTTGAAGTTCCCAACCCTGTAGTTGGGTGCTGGCAGAGTACTCTCAAAGATTGCGAGCTTCGCCTCCAAATATGACTGCTCAAATCATTGTAGTTTTGCAGATAGACGTTTTTGTGATTTTTTTCAAAAATTGTAAAAAGCTTAGTTTTTTTTTAATTTGAAATTTCTAACTTTGTAATTGAGGGCTGTCAGGGTACTCTCAGGAGTTGAAAATCTTGCCAAATACGACTTCAAATGCTTCTAGTTTTAGAGATATGACGTTTGATTTTTTCGAAATTTAATAAACTTACCTAAAAAAATTCACAAAATTTGAAACTATTAATTTGATGAAGAGATAACCTTACTGCCAGCGTACACCCAGGCGTCGCGAATCTTGTCTCCAAAATGAATGCTCAAATCCTTTTAGTTTCCAAGATATAACAGTTTTTATGATTTTTTCAATTTTTTTCGGGAATTTTAGATTTAAAGAACTCATGAAATTTGAAATACCCAACCATCTAGAAGAGTGCTCTCAGGGACTCTCAAAAGTTGCAAAGCTGGCCTCCAAAATTCTCCAGAGGCCCATTAAATTTTCGAGATGACGCTATTATGGTTTTTCAAAACTGGAACTAAAGTTTATAAAATTTGAAACTAACAACCCTGTAATTGGGTGCAGTCAGAGTGCACTAAAATATTGCAGATATTGTTTCCGATAAACATATGCGGTTTTTCAAATGAATAGTCGATAAAAAAATTGAAGCACCGGAGGTGCGTTACACGTTAGTAATTCTTTAGCATTATTATCAGTTCAACATTGCGTTAATAGCGCATTCCGACTTTCATTTAACATATAAGCAGAAGAAGATTAACTTCATTCAGGTTCGTTGACCGAAAAGCATGTTACCAACAATTTAAATGAGTGCATACTTTCTTTTAATGCCAAATTGTTGGCAACATGGGCGGATTAAGTGGGTGGGGGTCGGAGCCCCTGCCGACCCTTTGCACTATTTCGAGATATCCTATTTTGATCCCGGGCTCTAAATATTTTTTAAGACGCCTTGGGCGACAATATCCACTAACTTTGAGGGGGAGCGCGCGCCAAAAACTCGCAATTTTTTGGTCAACATTTTCCACAAAAAGCCTAAAAATGTTTTTTTGTAGGTCTCATCTTTTAAACATCTTGCCTGCGGCTCAAAAATTTGACTGAAACGGTCCTTTTAATGCTTTGGGAGAGCTCGGAAAATCAGTTATTAATTTGGTAGAAAAAACGTTCGACAAACTTCTTGAAAACCCTCCCCCGGTTGGCAATATTGGTGACCTGGAGCAACTTGAACGGTCAAAAAAAAGTTGTTATAGATTACTTAGATTTCTTAAGTATGTTTCTTTAAACGGTTTTACTGTTGAACTGAAAAGAAAATTAAGTTCAGGTGTCAAAATGAGCTTTTTTAGGTATTTGACATTGCTCACATTCGTGATCTAAAAGGATATTGCCACCAATTTGGGATCAACTATAAATTAACCGGACACATCGAACAATAACGAAAATTTCAAACGCTTTTTTCTCAAATTCAGTTAACATTAGACAAAAAGTGAAGCGAACAAAAATTGCTTAGCGTTCACCAGAATTAACATGGTGCAGTTTTTTCCCGAAAAATTCTGAACCAAAACTTAGCCACGAAAATAGGTCATTTGGTTTTTTTATTCCAAATACAAGTGTTTTTTTTCTTAGAAATTTATAGATTTTCTGCGAGTATTGTCATTGATTTTGGCCAATTCCGGGAATCAAGATTAAAATTTTTGAGCTAAGACAATCACAAGCTAACTAGTATAGAGAATTGCAAAAAATTTGAACAGACAAAACTAATTGAAAAGAGCAAAAGTCCTACTCCGTAAAAATTTTGCATGCGAAAGCTAATTTTGCAGACAGAAAGAATGTCTCAAGGTCACTTAAGTTTTCGATTTTGCATGCAAAAATTGCTCAAAAATGGTAGATAGCTCTGTTTAACTTTTTATGTCTGTTTCAACTTTTTGCCTATATTGTTGACTACAGTGCTGATTTAAATTATCCGGACGAAACGAACAAAACTTGAACTTTCAAACGCGTTTTTCTCAAATTGGGTTAAGATTAGACAAAAAGTGAACAAAACAAAAGTTGCTTAGAATTTCACCAGAATTAATATAGTGCCATTTTTTCTCCGAAATTCTCAACAAAAATGTTACCCCAAAAATGGGTCATTTTGGCTTTTTTCAATTAATCAAGAATTACGCTGAAACTACTTTGTTAATTGATATGAAAATTATATCACAGGAAGCCTCTTACGCAGTTCAACAAAGTTTAAGAAGAGTTAATTTGCCAAAAATTTGCGCAAATTGTTCAAAACTTATTTTTAAACAGAGATTCTGGGTTTTATATAGTAAAAATCACATTTATTGACTATCAAGTGAAAATTTTTTCATTTATACTGGTTTTTGGAGATTTAACCCTTCTTAAACTTTGTTGAACTGCGTAAGAGGCTTCCTGTGATATAATTTTCATATCAATTAACAAAATATTTTCAGCGTAATTCTTGATTAATTGAAAAAAGCCAAAATGACCCATTTTTGGGGTAACATTTTTGTTGAGAATTTCGGAGAAAAAATGGCACCATATTAATTCTGGTGAAATTCTAAGCAACTTTTGTCTTCTTCACTTTTTGTCTAATCTTAACCCAATTTGAGAAAAACGCGTTTGAAAATTCAAGTTTTGTTCGTTTCGTCCGGATAATTTAAATCAGCACTGTATATTGTAATTAATTAATGATTTTAACTTATCATGACTAAACAAACAAAATTTAGAAATTCAAACTCAGTTTTCTCATTAAGTTTAGAATTCGAAAACTTAGGTACCCTTGAGACATCTTTTCTGTCTGCAAAATTAGCCTTCGCATGCAAAATTTTTATGGAGTAGGACCTTAGCTCTTTTCAAATAGTTTTGTCAGTTCCAGCTTTTTGCAATTTTCTATACTACATAGCTTGGGATTGTGTTAGCTTAAAAAATTTGATCTAGTATTCTCTGAATTGAAAGAACTTGATCAAAATCAATGACGATAATCACAGAAAATTTATGAATTTATGAGAAAACCATTTGTTTTTCATCTATAGGGAGTTGCAAAAAGTTCGGACAGACAAAATTATGTAAAAAGCAATCGTTCCATTTTAGCACATTTGGCAGGCAAATATTTTTTTTTCAGACAACCTTTGGACACAATTAGGGGTCTGATAAATTAGGTTTTGCATGCAAAAAATGTTCTAAGCTAGGTCAGGTCAATTGCTCTTTTTCATTAGTTTTGAGTCGGAACTTTTTGCGACTAATTCTATCTCGGTCGGTTTGGCAGGGGGGACTGACTGACCTTGCTGACACATGAGTGACGTCTGTGCGGCTGTTCCTTGGGGGCGTGTCTGTGGAGACAGTTGGTCTGGAACTCCACGTACACCTTCCTCCACAGCAGCAGTTTGGCCCTCAACTGCTGGTGTCTCTTCCTCGCCTCCTCTATCCCACTTGTCTTCTCATCCACTGCAACAAACAAAACAAAGAACAAATTCATCAAGATAGTTAATTATCAACAATGGAAAGCACCACATTTCAAAGAACGAATCGGTTCGCGAAAAACTGAAGTGCTTCTAAGCAAGCTACTCAACCTATGAAATTTTAAGTATTAAAACTTCAAACTATTCCATAAAACAAATCAATTTGCGATATGTTCATGTTTTTCTTATTGCAGCTGTGAAATTTTTGAGAATTTTGAATAGACTGAATTGGTTCGCGAAAAATCTTTTTTTTAATAATTAATTTATTAACGCTATGAAACTTTAGAAAAATAACGAATCTGTTAAGAGTTACAAAGAATCTGTAAACGCAAAACTTCGGACAAAAAAGGCAGGTTCTATTTATAGCTTTATATTAAGACGACGGACAGTAAAGCTGGATCTTAAAACGATTGGCTAGCATCTAAACAGAGTTTTACGTGCTTTTAACCATCTCTACCATAGCCAATTCAATGTGGTTCTCGTAACATCGAGTCAGCAAAATTATTAGTCGAACCGCGCAAATTAACTTAGCTCAAAGCCGAACCGCGCAAATTAACTTAATTACATGTGAAAATACGGAGCGCATTGCTGGGTCTCAGTATCCCAGTCCACAAGGTAACTCCTAAACACAGGGCTTGTGCATTACTGTTAAATTACTCTATCACTTTTGTTTTTGTACAGTAGAGAAAATCACCCCACCCATTGGAGGTTGATTGACTTTTTCACTCAACTTCTAGCTTCTCCTTATCTGAAAACGGAATTAGAAGTTATAAATTTCAGTTCTTGACATCCCAGGAAGCTGAAAATTGTTCAAAGTACAGTTTCGAAGCACAACTTCGGACCCTTCCGCTTTCTTCAATATTCGTGAATAAGCGTCTTCTTCGCGGCCAGGAACGGTTGCTGTCTTTCTTCGCAGCCTTTTCGATTGATGAAAATTGTTCAGTAACGATTGTAGCTGAAGAATCGTTACGACTCGGAAGGCTTCTTTCCTTTGTCTTCTGAATCGCTATCTTTTTATGCCGTTTTCTGTCTCTAGTGTGATCTTCTAACAGCAAAACATTCTCTCTTATCTTCCCGATTTGTAGATTTTGCAAAATTTTTGTCACGCGTTGTCACGCGTCTTCGTTTAAAATTGAAATTTTGAATAAAGTTACTTCGATCCAAAGTAACGCTTCCGAATTTGGTTCTTTTTCCAAATAATGCTGCTAATCATCAAAATTGACGTATCTTGCAGTCAATATCACTGCCTCGAATTCGTTCCGTCATATCAAAAATCGACCGCATTCTGGTCAAATGGCACACTTGAAGTAAAATCGAATTCATCTTGTTTAAGGAGTTTCAAAATTTTTAAAGATTGAATTCTTGAATATTCCAAAACTTGGAATAATTTAAAGTTCTTAAGCATTGAGCTCGATGGTTGCTCTAAGGATTTTTAAACGTTCTGATCTAAACCTTCTTAAACGTTGTTCTCGGTAAAAAAAATTGACATGTTGCGTCTATAGCGCATTAATCATTTTTATATAGAATTAGATACAACCTCATTTACTCGTCATAGATTGGGTTCAATGTTTTCGTTATCGGGTTGCAAAAAATTGGAAGGATATAACAGTTTTGTCTTAAGCTTGATATTTTTGAATATGTTCGACCGAGAAAAAAACAATTCGACCGAGTTCTACAAGAAAAAAATTCTAAAAAAAACAAAAAGTTTGTTCGTTGAGTTTGTCTTTTATAGGAGGAGCTGTTCATAGCAAAACTTTCTAGCTATGTTCATTTCAATCTATACCATAGACCGAATCAATTCGAGAAATTTTTAAATTTTCCTGAGCAAATGATTTTTGCTATGAATTTTTGAAACATTTCACATTATTTCTTCGACCAAATCTGTTCGCGAAAAAATTAACATTTACTAAGCAAGCTATTCATGCATGAAACTAAAACATTCCGAGTTATTTCATAGAATCAAACGCTTCGCGAGATTTTAAGAGGTTGTCTAAGCAAGCTATTCAGCTATTCAAACAATACAAATTCTAAGATCGATAGCCACCCTGAGCAGTAATTTTCCTGTTTCAATGTTTACTATTCGACGCTTCGGATGCAATTGCCCGCCGTGGTTATAATTTTCGAGCAAAACTCTGCTTTATGATCTTTCGACGTTATGTTTATTTCAGTTTTAATTTCGGTTGATGTCTAGACAGTTGCTCATTTTAATTAAGTCTCTCTGTCCGAACTTTTTGCAACTCTCTATAACTTGCGCAGTAGCCGCCAATTGCTGTAAGCATAGCCATCAAATAATTGGAAAATTTGCGAATGAACTCAAAGTTCAGTTATAAAAAACTTCGAAAAATTAATTAAAAAAGGACGAAGCTCTTTTTTTAAAAAAAAGTAATGATCAGCCTGCTTTTCAAAAAATTAACCCAACTAGAGAACACCGGCTCAATGGCTATCCTTTTTCAGGGGGAAAAGATGGAAATTGAAATCTTCTTTCGAACCTAAAAGTCGTTTACGTTTTTGTGCGCCTTTACGTCTTAATTAAAGAGCATTTGTTACTTCCTTTTGGCAACTGAAGTTGAGTTGATGTTTGAGAAGAAGTCAAACGTCGAACGACCAAAAGTCAAATGTGAACGCGGATAAGACTTTTTTCTGAGAAAAAAAAACGAAAAAAAAGCACGACCAATGTAAGCGTCTTCTTCAATACGTTTATTGACACTTTACAATTCCCATTCATTTAATTTTGCTCTCGCATTCACCTCGTGAACCATTCTGCATAACGCGTTGTCTACGAGCTTTGATATGACACTTCGTTCTTCTGGAATAATCTGGTCTTGCGTTAAAAACACAGCGAAGTGAATCGTGGAAGCGGGTCGAAGGTTATTCTCGAGGTGGAGGGTGCCGGATTTCAAAAAAAGTTCAAACATTTAAGTTCGACGTTGATCACTCCCAAATCAAAACTATTAGTTTGTTCGCCGTGCGCTTGATACCGCCGCCGAAGGCTCCCTTAGAAAGTAGTAGAAATAGTAGAAAGGGATGACAGAAAGCGTTGGCACTCTGCCTGAATGCAAACTTCGTCACATTTCAACAAATTTCTACTCAAAATTAATGACTGTGTGGAAGAACTGTTTGCAAACTACATTTGTTTATTATTTAAATTAGATGGGATCTTACGAGTGTGTTGCATCTGTGCAATCCTCTGGTCCCAGAAGTGCTTCTCCTGTGGAGACACACTCCTCTGGTCATCCTCCCCACTGTTCGGGTCACTGTTAGACAGTCCAGACGAATGGGCCACTGCGCCAGTCCCATACCCACCTACACCACACAACCCCACCTGTATTATAAAGATCGAGAGTGCGGTCGATTTGGGTTTTAGATTAAGTACGCTTAAGAGACTCATGGAAAATCAAGGATAATCTTTAGTTGGTCCCGCATATTTCTTAAACATTTAATAAGAGTCATGGTCACGCATAAAGAGGCAGCTATTTATGGTTCCATCAAAAGTTCCATAGACGGGAATGAATGAAAAAAGTAGTCGACGCGGCATCCCCTCCCATCCCAACCTAGTATAAAATAATAGCGCCATCATATTAGTTTTAAAATTATGGGTGGGCTATATTTTGCTCAGGTTTCTGTGATGTCACGCGAGGTCTAGTCGATGGAAACCTACGAGTATTTGGTTACTAATGGCAACAGAATTCTTAAGAAAAATAAAGCATCTGATTAAATGCACTGGAACAATTGAAGCAACCCAGTTTTGCCAAACCTAGCAGCAAAAAACACCCTCTTTTGACTCTTAAATCCACTCATCGGTGAAATCCAAGAACAAAAAACACTCACCTATTTTGGCGTTCTTGGAATCATCGTCCAGTTTCAGTCATCGTCCTAACAAAACTTGATTTTGCATGCAAAACATTGCGAAAACTTCAACTATCGCTTTTCAAAAATTCGAAAGTTTCGCAAACAGACAACAGCTTTTGAAGAAGTTTGATTTTTCAAGGTTGTTCGAAAGGTCAAAATTGAGAGCATACGTATTTGAAACTGTTTTCAAAATTTCCCTTCTGAAAAAGATGAATTATCGAGCTGAAAATAACAATCAACTATCTTTAATGATATAAAAACTTTCATTCTACGTTTACAAATGCGTAAATATGCCACTAAAAACCCGAACGGTGCAAAAAACTACCACGTCTAAGGCGGCGCGGTTTTTGCAAAAGGTCTAAATAGTAAAGGTCAATAAAAGCCTTCTTCCCATTCATCTCAATATCCGGAACTTAATCCGGATTTTGAATGTCACGCCTTATTTGATAATTCGTCTTGACTAAGTCGAAATTTTTGCAACAAGACTAAAGCTTTGGCCGACTACTTTGGGCCTTCGGCGGTTAAGGTTTTCAGTCTAAACTTAGTGGCGAATTCTGCTGCGGTTACTAGTTTTTAACAAGTTAAGGGGGAATTTAAACTTCGAGACATTGAGGGGGAACCCACGGCGCTAAAAACGGGCTGGTGCTTGACTTTCAAAGTATTTTCTTAAGGAGCGGACCTAAATCCATGAAATTAATGTAAGAACATCACCCACCTTCTCCGATGACTCTGCCCGCTCCGTAGTTGAGTTCCGGGTGACTGTACTCCAGATCATCTGGCATCAGAGAAGCCGCGTCATTCGCTTTTGCACCCACGAAGTCTAAATGAAAACACATTTCAGAGCATTAGTCAGAGAATTACAGAGAAATTTTTTCAGATATTTTATGAAAGCTGAGAGAAATTTTCCACGTAAAGAGAAAAAGAAGTTAAAAAGAAGATAAGAGAAACAACCAACGACAGTTGTAAATGTTTCAATGAACTTAAGTAAACAGAAAAATCACTGACTTGTTTTTTGAGAAGTCTCAATTTTGATTTTCCAAAATATAGAAGGCCTTAAGCTCTTTGAATTTCTAGAAAAATTTATGATTGACGTTTTTTGATAATATTAACCCAATTTGAGCCAACTGGATCAATAGGTAAAACTTTTAATTCGCTGGGAAATCTGATAGTTAAATCCATTTTTGAAATTAGAAGTCAATAGTGGAGTTTGCCTTCCTTTTAAGAAAGGAAATAAACTAAACTTCAAAAAGAAACTAAAAGTAGTAGAGCGAAAAAATAAAATTGAGCGTGAACAAATTTTTAGCCTGAAAAAAAAAAGAAAGCATCGCGACCAACAGGCAACCAAGTTTAGGCGTAAGAAATCGATTATATGGGATTATTATGATGATTTTATGTCAATCATCATTGATAATAATTACCAAAATTAGGTATTTAAAGGATTTATAATCAATTATAATCGTGATATTTTCCAGAGATTATAATACTTTATTATCGATAATAACTGATTACAGTTCATACAAAAAACACTTTATATCAATTATAAACGATTATGATCTCTTGTTTTGTCAGGTATTTATACCAGCAAAAAAAACGATTTAATTAAATCATATGGGTTAGTTTTTTCTGTCAATAACAAAATCTCTAAAACCGAGATGTATGGTCACACTTTGATCACAAAGTTTTGTCTGAACACAAAGTTTTACCATGAAAGAAAAGTTTCTTAGAGATCCTTTCGTATCAGTTGAAAGATTACCGCGCTATGTGAAAATAAGTCTTCCGAGTAAATCATGAAGCTGACGTAAATCAAGTAAATCAATGTGCTGATTTTTTGGTTGTTAAAAAAACTTGAGAATTTCATCATGAACCAACTTCAATGGAAAAATGAACAAAATAAAAAACTATAAGTTTGAATTGATTTGAAATCGCTTAGAACATTTCTCTCAATTATTATTGATTATAATTGGATTTCAAAAAAAAAGAGATTATAGTAGATTTTAAACTGATTCTAATAAATTGCCTCTCAGTTTTAATTAGACTGGCAATAAAACATAATGTAATTGATTATTAACGCTTGAAACTGGATGCGGGTATTTTGAGCGGGTAACCTTGAAACTGATGCTGGTAATCGTAATATAAGGTGAAGTAACTGTTGAGAGGTAAAATTATGCTTTTAAAATAAGATATTGATTCGTTTATAAGTTGTGAAAATATGAAGAACAAATTCAACATGTAGAACTAAATGTAGGTCCGATTAGCAATCATATTCGCTGGTTTTTTGAAATTTGAACAGCGCTAAATTATTCAAACATGAAATCAAACTCAACCTACTGAATTTCACTTGAGGTATTTAAAATTGGACGGAAAAACTTTGCTTTTCGCTACGACACTGCTTCGCTACGAGTCGGAATCTTTGCTACGAGTCAGAAATTATGTGAGTTAGAATCTTCGCTACGAGTCGGAAGCTTTCCTCTTTGCTACGATTCAGAATCTTTGTGAATCTTTGAGCAAATTATCATAATACAAACTCATTAAACTAAACTTCCAGAAGACTCCATGACAGCTCTCATTCAAAACATTCAACCAAAACAATCAAATTTTTGCTGTTTCATCTCGAAATTGTACAATGGTACTACTTTTGAAGATCAAAGTTATAGATACATACCGCGCTATTTTGAACTTGATTTATGAGAAAGAATTTTGAAAAAGATTAAGCATACAAATTTGAAAAACTTTTGCAATGTTAAAGAGTCAACAATCTAATTGCGCGTAACTTAGGACATTTTGAATTTTGAAAAAGATTGCTTGTATCATGACCGAAACATGTTTGTTCAGGCTGCCCTTTACGACACAAGCAATTGTTTGTTCTTATAAAAAAAGCAGTACAATTTTAATACAAAATGAAGGTGAGTTGGTTTTTTTTTCTTCATAAATTGGTATAATGTCCACCCCATATGCAATTTTGGGCAAAGTGATAACCTTTTCTGGTAACAAACTATTTCCAGCAATTATTTTGCCTTCATTCGGTTTTAAAAAATTAGTTGGACGCACTAGCTGAGCTACGCGTTACTAAAAAATTGGTCATTAGCTCGCATAAGCTGTCCCAAATTGATTTAGTTCAAGTTGCAAACCCTCTTAAAACAAATTTCAAACCCTCATTATCGTTCCAAACTGTGGCAGGTCAGATAAATATTGTTGTTTGAGCTCAGGAAAAAATTGCTTACCTGAATTTTGCCTTAAATTGTTAGTTAAAATGTCATTTTAAAATACGTCTGAAACAAAAGTAGTCTCTCTTAAAACACCAGTAGTTGTTAATTAATGATGGCATTTAGGAAATGTTTAACTTAATTTTCTAATAACACTGTACAAAATGTGTTGCAAACTTTTTCAGCTCAAGCAAATCACTAAAAACACTATCACGTTTTCTAATCAGACGGAGAACTGATCCTTTGATAATCGAAAATATGTTTGAGGCGATTTTTCAAAAAAATTAAAATATGAAACGTAAGCTTGGAAAACTGTAAAAATGACAACAAAAACAAAAAAAGTTTCTTTAAAAGAAAAAAACAAAGAAACCAAAAATTTTGCTTCATACCAGGCTGTTCCGAACACTGAAAACAGGAAAGAACTTTGTATTCCGGTGTGTTTTAGTTTTTGATTTTTTTCCACGCAAAATCAGGTACCACAAATAATCATTGGAAAGGATCGAGAAAAAGATCAATTTAAGGCTTTTTAAGTTGAAAGTTTTCTCAAATTAAAGAGTAAAGTATCAAGTTCAAGCATTTATTCGAAAGAAGTATGAAAACTATCAAAAAATTGTTCCGGTGTCGCGACAAAATGCATCGAAATTTCGGAATTTTAGGATAAATTTGAGAGATTGAAGCAATTGAGTAATGTTCGTTATATAAAAATTGGTGATTTAGGCTAAGAAAACTGGAATTTACCAACAACAAAATTTTTTCCGCAAGCTTCATTTGCTCGTGATTGGAAAAAATAGAAACTTTGTCAGAATTATGGTGCAAAAAAAAATAGAGTTTTTCTTTTAAAAGTTTTTCATTTTTTGCTTGTTAATAATTTTTGAGGACAACTGTATCGATTATGCAAACGGCCATCCTTTTTTAACATAACAAACTGAAGTAGTGATTCCAAAAATTTTCATTAATTTGTTCCGGTGTCGAGAAAAAACCTTCGAAATTTTTCACTTTTTGTGTAAATAAGAAAGAGTAAAGCAATTGAGCAACGTTCGTTATATAAAAATTGGTAATTTGGTCTAAAAATTTCGAATTTATCAAACCAAAACTAGTTCTGAAAGCTTCATTTTTGCTGGTTATTAATTTTTGAGGATAATTTGTCGATTATGCAAACGGCCATCCTTTTTTAACATATCAAACTGAAGCAGTGATTCGAAAAATTTTCAATAACTTGTTACGGTGTCAAGAAAAAAAAACCCTCGCAACTTTTGAGTTTTTGTGTAAATTTGAGAGAGCAAAGCGATTTAGATTTAAGAACGTTCGTTATATGAAAACTGGTAATTTTTTTTCTAAAAAAATTTGAATTGATCAAAACAAAACTAGTTCTGAAAGCTTCATTTTTGCTTGCTTTTAATTTTTGAGAATAACTTGTCGATTATGCAAACGGTCATCCTTTTTAACATATCAAACTGAAGCAGCGATTCGAAACAGTTTCAATAATTTTTTCCAGTGTCGAGAAAAAACCCCTCGAAATTTTTGACTTTTTGTGTAAATTCGAGAGAGTACAGCAATTGAGCATCGTTCGTTATATGAAAATTTGTATTCTTCTTTTAAATTTTCGAATTCATCAAAACAAAACTAGTTTTGAAAGCTTCATTTTGTGCGTGATTGGTAAAAAAGTTTCAAAATTATGGAGCAAAAAATAATAATATTTTTTTCAAAAGTTTTCTCATTGTTTCGTTTGTTGTTCATTTTTGAAGACAACTGTTGTCCATTATGCGTAATTCAATAATTTTCTACGCATTTGTAAAACTTTTTCTCTTGAACGCAATATTTTTTTATGAATGCGCACCATCTGGATTTCCTTGTTTTCTCCAAAGTTAGCTTTCGAAACACTTTCAATGCCATCATGTTCATTAAATTTCAGAATTTGACACTAATTTATTTGTAAAAGTAATTTTTTTTTCTTAAGAAATTGGTCGAAACGTTCTGTTCTGATTGCACAGCAACCGGCTATCCGTGTTATGGTTGAAATGACAGTAAAAGGGATAAAAACTCAAATAAATTCTATGTCAGTTCGAATTTGCAGCCCTCAAACATATCGAGTTATAAAGGACCAATAGACTCTCTTGTCCTTATAAAATTGCTTCTTAAAAACAACCAACGAAAAGGTCAGATCAAGTATAAATTGCTGATATATGGCAGAACTTTTTTAGGACAAGGAAACTTACATTTTCGGCCGCTAAAACCAATAATATATCATAATACTTTTCTGCTTTATTTTCTGAGGTTTCTGCTAAACCAACCGGGCACGCAAAATAATCTGTTTCTGCACCAATTTTTGAACTTCCATAGATTTATAAGTTTTCTGTTTTTGGACATTCCACATACATTACAAATGGGAAGCATAAGCTTATTGGTGAACAAAAAACAAAATAAAAACAGTGGTTTTCGCAATTTTCGATTTTTACAAGAAATTTGCAACGCTCTCCTAATTTCATGAAATATTCGATTGATTGCAAATTTTCCAATTACAGCAATATTTTGCATCCATGCCACGTTTATTATAATAAGAATTTTATTTTGACATTAAGATCTCTAGTTTGAAAATTATTGAACTAAAAAGCGAAATCAAAGTACTTCAACAATCTACAATCAATAAGTAAAGTTTGGTAAAATTATCTACATTTTAAAGGAACAGAAAAGTTGATTTTAAAAAATTCATTCGTTTTGTTAAACATCAGCAGATCATCCACCTGTTTAAAACTGTCATTGAACGAAGTTATTAAGATGAGAAAGACTTCGAAAGACTTCAGTAAGAGCAAATACATAAATTACACAAAAAAAAATCAACTGACCGACTGACATTAGCTGGACTGTTTCTGTTTCTATTAACCCCAGCTGCATTCAACGGGTGCACATCGCCAGAGTTC